AATAAAATAACTTATTCACACTCTGTTCAGTTAATCTGTTTGGCTTCTTCATTACATATCTGTTCTGTGTAACTTATAGTTGGTATTGATGGTAATATCAGCTTTCTTCTGATAAAATTTTATAACTGGAAGAAGGATTCTTCAATTATACTAAATCATTTGCTGTGAGATTGTTTTAACCAAGAGAATTATGGTGACTTTTACAATATTACTTTGGAAGACTGAAGGCAGCTCTGCGAAAAGTGGAGCCAATGACCGTAGTGGAAAGGAAAGCAAGTAGATCAGCTCTTTGAAACCAATCTGGATAAAAGGAGGACTTGAGACTACCCAAAAGTATTCCAGACATTTGCTCCTTATGAAGAGGCTGCAAGACAGTGGTCTCCGGTGAGTTTGGAGCTCTGAGAGACAAGAGAATGGCCATCTTGCTCAAACTGTGGTTAGCATCTCTGAAAGGACACAAAATTCACATACTTCCCTTATCATTTTCAGAAATTGCTTGTTAAACTGCTTTTCAGCTATTAGAAACCTTTGGATTGACAAGTCCGACAGCAAAATGTGAGCTTCCTTCAATTCTTAGTAAAAAAAAAGTTTAAGAAAGTATTTTTTTTAATAAGCAGCAAAAGGAGTGATTAAAACTTTGATTTTAAAAAGTTACAGAGTAAGAGTACAGATCAATTTAAAATAAAATTTTGGAATTAATTATAAAGGATCTTTCCTTTGGAAAAATGCTTTTGTTTTGATTTTTTGAAAAAAATAGTAAGATAAGATTTTAAAAATTGGACAGTAGAGGGAACTAAAGGTTACAATTAAAGAACACATGAATTTCACTTACAATTATAGAATAAAGCAAAATATTCTAACATTGGACATACTAAAGAATATTTTGAAAGAAGGTTTAAGATACAGGAGGATCTCAAGAGACTTGAACACTTGGCCTTATCTAACAAAATGAATTTCAATCATGAAAAAAGTAAAGTTCAAATGCACAGGTATAAAATAAGTGATACCTGGCTCAATAGTAGTAACTATGAGAAGGATCTTGGAGTCCTAGTGACAATCACTTAAATATGAGCCAGCAGTGAGTTGCAGCTGCCAAAAACTCTAACTCAGTCCTAGGCTGCATCAACAGAGGGATAAAATCAAGATCACATAAAGCATTAGTACCACAATGCCTTGGTAAGACCACATTTGGAATATTGTACCCAGTTTTGATCACCATGATATATAAAAGATATTGAGACTTAGAAACAGTGCAAAGAAGAACAACAAAGATGATTAGGGGGCTGTAGGCTAAAACATGACAAATGGTGGCAGGAATTGGGTATATGTAGTTTAATGAAAAGGACTAGAAGTGACAATAGCAATGTTTCAATATCTAAGGGACTGTCACAAAGAAGAGAGGGTCAAACTATTTTCCAAAGCATCTGAAAACAGAACAAAAAGCAACTGATGGAAACTAATCAAGGAGAGAATCAATGTGGAATTAAGGAGAAATTTCCTGACAGTGAGAACAATTAATCAGTGGAACAGCTTGCCTCCAGAAGTTGTGATGCTCCAACAATGGAGATTTTAAGAAGAAATTGGACAATCATTTGTCTGAAATGGTATAGGATTTGGACTAGAAGACCTCCAAGCTCTCTTCCAACTCTGTTAATTTGTTCTGAAAGGACCTTAGCTTGCAATCCTAGTATGGATTCTTGGTAGAATATGTGTTTTCCAAGTTTTTAGTGAGTTACTAATATTTCTAAACTTAACAGAGACATCACCCAGCCAACAAAAGTACGTATAGTCAAGGCTATGGTTTTCCCAGTTGCAATGTATGGCTATGAAAGTTGGACCATAAGAAAGGCTGAGTGCAAACGAATTGAGGCCTTTGAACTATATGGTGCTGGAGAAGACTCCTGCGAGTCCCCTGGACTGCAAGGTGATCAAACCGGTCAGTCCTAGAAGAGATCAACCCTGACTGCTCTTTGTGGCGAAGGTTGTTGAGAGTGTGGTTGCTCTTTGTGGCGAAGGTTGTTGAGAGTGTGGTTGCACAGCAATTCCCTCGGCACCTGGAGGAAACAGACTATCTGGACCCCCTCCAGTCGGGCTTCAGGCCGGGATACAGCACGGAAACGGCATTGGTCACGTTGGTCAATGATCTCTGGAGGGCC